ACTTTTGAGTAATTATGTAGTTATATATAATTGCATACTCAAGAAGTGATGATGATGAAATGATAAAGAGAATGATTTGTGATAATGAAGGGAATGATATATATATATATATATATATGTGCATTGATCTATAACTTTGTATATATCCTTCTGGAATGCCAATTAGTTTATCATCATCATTGAATCACATGTCATCACAATCTAGAAACTCCATAAATCAAAGCCGAGGAAAACAAACAAAAATTAAGAATAATAATTATGCGAAAGGGTGAAAAAAAAACAAGTCAAAACATTTAATTAAGCCGTACGTAGATCTAAAGAAAACTATGTATTAAATTCTGTCAAGGTCACATAGCTGTGAGCTATAAATATATATATATATATATATATATATATCAATGTGTGTATTATAGCATCAAAATATACTTTGATTGCTGTGAGGGGAATACAGGGGAAAAAAAGATGACTAAAGATGCTACATTTATTGATGATATTGTCTCTTTTTTGTGATATTTTTAAATAAATTAAAGGAAAATGAAGATTATAACATTAATACATCATTGTAATGTTAAAACAGGAATCAACCATGAAGCCTTCACAATTATGTTGAATATATTAATTATAATAACTAATCTAATCCACTTCCTCGTATTGGTGACTTAAATCATATCAGGATCCACATAGCAGGCTGCAAACATAACTCAAAAAACACTAACAAATATAATTGAGATACATACAAATTATAAATCAACAAAATTATTCTGTTATCTAACCTATAGTTTATTTTTTGGGAGAAATTTGTTAGCATGATTATTGTTATTAGGAGTGTTATGGATAGATTTGGGAGAGAGGAATAATACAAGGGAGAAGGGTGGCGCTGGGGCCATTAAAATTGAAATGGTTTGTGGAAAGCTTGGCTTATACTCAGTGATGAGGGTCCCGTTGTCCATTCCCTCCAACATTCCTCTGCCCCTTCTCTTTTCTTTCTCTCTTTCCCTCACATTCCAATTTCCCACTCCTAAAAGCTTTAATTTTCGGATGATTGCGTCATGCCCCTTATATATATATATATATAGAGAGAGAGAGAGAGAGAGAGAGAGAGTAGGGCATTATTCTCCTTATATATACTTTTGAGCACACCAACCCACATCTGCATACACTATAAAATTAGAAATGACCATTTCCCTTTTATTTGACCATGAAAGTTCATGGAATGACTTGATCAAGTTCATGTGATTTTTGCCAAGGATGATCATTGGAATGTGCTAATTATATATACGTTTATTTTTATGTACATAGTACATAGTCTAAAAACTAAGATGTCTTGTTCATGATGTATAAATTGTGTAATTTTTATAAATAAAAAAGAGAAAATATAGTTCTTGATTTTTGAAATTGCGGTCAATTTTAGTCAAAGTATTTATTATATTATTATCAATTATTATTGCCACATCAGTGACGCTGACTCCTTAGTGAAAATTCTATAAGAACCTTAGTTAACTATAACTTTAGGAATTCCAAAACCTTTATTGTTCCATAATATGTTATAAAAATTTTAAAAAAGATAAATACTGTTCATAAAATACGAATCATCTGTTTGATATGGACATTTATATGACTAGTATTACAATGTGGTAAACTTTGAAGGCCTTGAAATCTCTATCAACCATCAAATCTTAAATGGATTATTCATTATTATCACTATTTCTTGGGTGTATATCATAAAGATAAGAAGGATGCATATAAAAGCACACTTAATTTGACTTCTTATTCAATTAAGAATTTGTTTCATCACGTAAGAAAAATATGTTCTTTTAACCTATACATTAGTTTTTCTTTTCTTTTTTTCCCCAAAAAAAAAAAAAGTAAGTGTGAAAGATTATGTATCTCTCTATCTACATATATATGTGTGCTTTTCGTGTAAATTCATCAACCACCCACTCTAATTATATTAATTTATTCCCATGCACGTCGATTATAATAAATGAATTATGTATGAATATGATGATTAAATAATATTGGTGTAAGAATTGAGAGTACTAGCAGATAAGAATGTGTAATTGTTAATGATACAACTCAATATTCTTTTTATATATTTATCGAGCCCAAAAGAATGTTTAGTTAGTGTAGAATTTTGTGACTATAAATTTCTAATATAATATAATATGATACTACAAAGAGTATATGCAATTAATTTATGCGTCTGTGTGATTATAGCTTCTTGTTCCAATCTGGTAGGCTGTTAATTTAGTCAGATGGTTTTGCTTTGACGTGGGAAATCTTGCTTCTAATTAAATGATCTTATCCTTAATGAGTTAATTAAAAATTTTGAATATTTGGAATAAAACCACGATCGAATAATTTAATTGATGGCGATAAAGTTCCTAGACTCCACCGTCATCATATACTTGACTTTTTGGCCTCCATGCTGCTTCATCAAATGTCAAAAAAAGCTTGATTAATGGAACTTATCATTAGAAAAGTGACAATAGTATGATATACTCATTCCGCCCTTTATTATAAGATTTAATTTTTTGAGTAGGTCTATCCCTTTTTATAAGATTGTCTTTGACTTTTCCTATGCATTTAATGTATGATTACATATTTTATTCCTAATTTAATACATTTAATATATTCTCTTTCTTCATTTATCTCACTATTACTCTATCATATTTACCTATTTATATATAAGGATATATTTGAAAAAAATTGTATTTGTTACATGTTAATTACTTTTAACTAATTTTAACTGTTTTCTTACACGGCACAATTTAGTTAAAAAGACCTTATAATAAGAAAGGAAGGGAGTAGTATTTTTGTGTTTGGAGTGGTAATTAATAATCCCTCCAGGCTTAATTACAAGAGTTAAGATAACTAATTTGTAAATATTAAAGAAATTGACTAAAATAATCATTTATAAAATATATGTATTGATTTTTCTAAAATGCCCATTTAGTTGTTTGCATTGAAAACTACCCATTGATGAAAACTTTTATAATAAATACAATCAATTATTAGGATAATTTGAAAAAAATGTCATAATTTTAGGTGGAGGATTAATAACAGGTTGTTAGTTAAGTAAGAGGACAATTTTGTAAGAAAAGGTGGGCCTGCAATGCCAGTGTTAATGAAGAATGTAATTTTTAACTTTGCTGCTTTATTGAAAATTTGTTAGGAAAGATGCAAACCAAATCATTGGGGATGACGAAGTCTCAAAGGGAGATTGACAGATCATAGCATTCACACTCACATTCCTATTCATATTCACTTCATTAAAACCCAAAAAAAAAAAAACACTTCACATTTGTCACAGTTCAATCCATAAAGGGATCCTTTTCTTCCAAGTAGAGAAATCTTCTTGTTTCTTTTTGGCTTTTTATTTTTATTTTCTTTGAAGATTTTGAAATATAATGTTCCAATGATTTGGGCATTCTCCCATTGATCTTCCCCATCCCTTTTTTCTTCTTTCAATCAAAACCACCCACTTGATCCTTTTTGTTTTGTTGATGAAAAGGGTTTTGGTCATTGATTACTTCAAAATCAGGCTAATTATTATCCACTTAATGCTTCTTTTTATGACGTTTGTTTTTAAATTAGCTCATCTGCATTTCAATTGATTTACCTTCCTAGTTGGAATATTAACATCATTAAGTTTTGAACTTGTGATTGTGTCTTTTTTCAATTATAAAAGAATTTTAATTATCTTCAATTTCAAAAACTCAATCTAATCAAATCAAATATCACAACTTGAGAAACAATTATAAAAGTACTTATAAATCAAGATTTTCATATAGACAGTAAAATTCAAAAATACTTATCGTAGTGTAAGAGTCATGTCCTAATCACACATACTTGGAAAAAAAAATCCTCATAAGTTACAGCGTCTACAAGGATGAAAAGGAATTTTCAAAAAATTATGCAATACTTTTATGTCTTTGTAGTTATTATTTAATAATATTTGTTTTAATTTGATGTATGAAAGAAAGATTAGGTTCTATCCTCAAAATCATTTCGAGCATTTCATTCTTTTTTCATTCTATGTGCCTCCACTTAATCAGGGCAGTAGGTGGAAGAGTCAACAAAAACATACTAAAATGAGTGTTTTAATGGACTCTTTACAAAAGTTACTAACGAATTGCTTACATTATAATTAATACTTAAGAATTTCACACTCTCACTCTACTATGCCAATTATTCTTCATAATTATAGTTCTTTTTTTTTTTTTTTTGGTTGGAAGAACGAGATAGATAAAGGTGGGGGAAAAAGAGTGCTCAAAGAATAAACATCAAGGTGCCCCACTTGATCACACATTATTATACATAGCTTTCTTTCACTGTTGTAGCCTTTTTTTTCCAAAAAAAAAAAAATCAGATCATATGATGAATCTTTCAATAATGAGAGAATGAGGTAAAGGACAAGAGCCATTAAATCCAAAAGGGTCTCAATTAGATGTATTCATTTCTATACACACAAATGAACTTTTCACAAAGTTAAATGACCTAGAGATCATACCCATGACTTTGACTGCAAATTAAAGTTAGACAGGGAGAGAGAGGGGGGGAGGGGGAGAGAGAGTAGAGGTCAATTGTAATTACTTAACTAGCCTCAAAAAGTTGACCTTCCCGGGAACTGTTAAGAATCATTATCATTAATGCTTAGGTATAATTTTGCATATGATACTATTCATTATTTTTCAATGTTTACTTTAAAGTTTAAAACAAAAAGATAGAATAATAGAACAAAAAAGCAGTATATATTGAAGAGGGTGCTTTTATATATCTATATATAGATATATAGACACACCAGTACTTTGCTCAGTCATTCCCCTCGGAACTTTGAATGAAGCTTTACTAGTTGAATGCTCTTTCCAAATGCATTCAACAGAAGCACTATAGTCCTTTGTTATAAACTTATAATACAGGCCATAGCAGAGTTCTTTTGGCTCCTTTCAATGCATAACAGCTTAAGGAAGTTACATAGGAATCTACCTTTATTTTTATTTTTTTTTGGGTGTTTGTGTGTATCTCCGTTTCTCTCCTTGCACAGAAGATATTCGTTCCTAGATAATAAGTTTATATTAGGGAGATTTACAATGAAGTTCCAAAAAAAAAATTATAAAACAAGTTTAAAAAATTGTCATTGTGCTCTGAAACTTATTATTATAGACTTGTTAGGTTGTTATTGGGACTTTTTAATAATTATTTTTTTTTCTTAGGACCTCATTATAATTCTCCTTTTATATTAAGCATAAGTTAAACTAATTCTGCACTAACGAGTATGCATAAAATTATATTCTAGATGATATCTGTATATTCATGTATATATATTTTAAGATCAAGCCTTTAGAAAAAGAAAGAACGTATTAATGAGTTGGCAGTTTTCTGATTTTAAAAAAGATGTTAACTAGTTTAAGCTCCTTAAGTTTCTTCATGTCATAGAAGAGTTTGGTCAAATTCAAGAACTGAATATGGCTCATTCAATAGTCACCTACACTACAGGTTTATTTTAAATTACTAGCCAGTTTAATTACCCGAAATTACATTTCCCCAGCTAGTCCCAAGTTCAAGCATCCACAGTACTATGCATTATTATATAACACATGATACTTTATATGATTTTTCTCTTTTACAGTAGTACTAGCAATAATTCTATAAAAGTAAAAGTGTTATATAATGATGAATTTTCCAATCATATACGCACCTCGCAAGAAGAAAGGTCAAATTAATGTGACTACGTGAGGCCCCATGGGCTTCCTTGCTGTAACAGTTGGTCAAACTTGAGTCTAATCCTGCCTTCTCGGTAAAACTATTCTGCATGGGAAAAACGTCACTATGAGGTTTCATGAAAACCACTCATAATTACACTACACAGAGGATAAGTCTTCATCTATATAGCTTTGTGATATCTTCCCCTTTCAAAATTTTTGGTTTTTCAAATTAAGTCTTAGGTTTTCATCTTTAACATAGCTTCCACAGGTTGCATGCATGCATTCAAACATTAAATCTTAGCAAAGCAAAGAATATCGGAGATGGAAATTAACTATACAAGTACGAAGAATAACTTTAATGCCATTATGATCTCAAGAGAGAATGTAATAGCTTTTATGTATTTCGATAAGAATCTACCATAGGGAGGAAAATAAACTAAAGTTTCTATATCTCAAAAACCGAAAAAGCAAGCAAATTAAAAATAAAGGGAGATCAATAGAGAGAGGTATATGTAATCTTTCTTTGGGAGAGGGGTAAAACATGATGACATGAAAGTAGTCAAAAAAGTTGCATACTGAAAGTTAATAATCAAACTCAAGCAGGACGTGTTTTCTGGGAGCCAGAAAACAACAAATCGAGCTATGAGCAATTTACATAAACCAAAGTGGTCCATAAATGTGAGAGCAGTGTATATCAGCTTTGCATCCTTTATATGGTAACACAAAAGGTTAAGTGCTAAGTGGGTGGTTGGAAATGAGATAAGATTAAGACAAAAGGTGATTGCAAATTACAGGAAGAGAGAGAGGGAGGAAGGGAGGATGAGAGAGAGAGATGAAAAAGAGCCAATAATTCTATGGAGGGTAGCAGACAGAGGGTTGCTTTTTGGGTACTTGGGGAATAAAATGCTGTCTCTCTACGAGGATTGGCGTGGAGAGAGAGAGATACAAACTCTTTTCTCTCTCATCACAAGCAACCTAACAATAATATTAAACAAAAATTTATTTCAAATAATATTCTGCATATGATCTCAGTTGAATGTGTGCATAATATCGTTTGAAAGTATTAAGAGTCTTGTGATGCAGTTCACGTTCAACACCAAAAATGATGTTTTACCGGTTTAGTCTGATAATAATGTACAACTTCTACTTGTACATATTCACATAAATGAAAAGCAAGGAAAAATTTTTGAAAGAAAAAGGAGAGAAAATATACCACTTTTTTTAATTTTTGGGGTTAAAAAAAAAAAAAATCTTTGATCACAATTCACACACTGGGTGGCTTCTTTTTCCATCACCTTTTCCCTTTAGTACCTCTTTTGAATTTCTGCTGGCGTTGTCTGTCTATTCAAAGTCTGATGTGGAAAACGGAGAGAAGCTGTGAGAGAGTTTAATCTGAAATTTAAAATTGTGGGGTCCCCATTTTGCAAAATATTTTCTTAAACAATGCAAACTCAAATATGTGCAATTCTATAGCACACCACAAAGATCTTAACCAGGTGCTCTAATCAATATATAGAATCTTACAGTTTTCTTCCTCTCCATTATCATGCACAGATAATGATAATATATATATTTGCTATGACAGAAGACGACTGCAACCTCCAGCCTTCTGTCCTTCCCTATATAAAATGTCGTGCGGGATGAAGCTAAAATTTTACAAGGTGCATTGGCCAATATGCATATACAATGCTACTGCTACATGTCAAGAAGAGTAAAATGATCACTAAAAAGAATCAATGTGTAATAGGAAAACAGAAATGTTATGTATCATAGAGATCATGATACACGTGGCACAGTTTATAAGAACATATTTAGACAAAAATGGGCCGCAGCATACTGAAAACTAGAGAGAGAGAGAGAGAGATGGAGTTAAATAAAAAGCTGATTCTTTTTTTTTTTTTTGGAGTGAAAAAAGCTGATTCTTTAAACTAAAGCAAAAACAGGATTAAGAGGGGAAAAAAGTTAAAAACAATAAGCAGTGACAAGAAGTATAAAGGAAGAAGCGGTCATAGGGCCTTATATATAGTCTGCTATTTCTAAAGCTCAACTACACTTGCTCCTACAAGCCTCCTCTCAAACAAACAAACTCTCTTTCCACATCTCTCTCCATATTCAAAACTCTCAACTCTTAGTTTCAGCTTCCTCTTATCAAAAGAGAGGGACCAAAAACACCCAACTCCATTTCAGGTCATCAATAATAGCATAGTCAAAGAGATCAGGGGGTGGGGGGTTAAGAGAAACATAAGGAAATAAGAAGACCAAAACGAAGAAGCACTGTGAGATCAAAGGTTTCTTTCACAAAAGGGGGGTGAAGGGGGGTGGTGTTTATCCAAGTTATGCGCTCAGGAGGTTGTGCATTACAGCAGACCCTCACATCGGAGGCTGCATCTGTGTTGAAGCATTCTCTGGGCTTGGCTCGCAGGAGGGGCCATGCCCAGGTCACTCCACTTCACGTGGCAGCCACCTTGCTCAGCCTTAGAGCCAGCTCCTTCAGAAGGGCTTGTCTCAAATCTCACCCTCATCAACAAACTTCTCCACATTCACATCATTCTCTCCACTGCAGAGCCCTTGAGCTCTGCTTCAATGTGGCTCTCAACAGGCTCCCAACCACACCAACTCCAAATCTGCTTCACACCCAGCAGCCTTCTCTTTCAAATGCTCTCATTGCTGCTCTCAAAAGAGCTCAGGCTCACCAGCGAAGGGGTTGTATAGAACAACAGAATCAGCAGCCACTATTGACCATAAAGGTAGAGCTTGAACAGCTTGTTATATCTATTCTTGATGACCCTAGTGTTAGCCGGGTTATGAGAGAAGCTGGGTTCTCTAGTACTGCTGTGAAGAGCAGTATCGAGGACTCTTCAGTTTCACCTCCTTGTTCCGTGTTCCAGTGTTACAGCACCTCTGGAGGTGTCTTTTCTTCTCCTTGCTCTCCTTCTCCTAGTGATAACCAGAGGGAAACCATCAATCCCAACAGTTTCAGGCACAGCCACTTCTACACTGCTCCTGAGTACTACAACACAGTTCTTTTCTCTCCTCAAAAGAGAACCCCAGTGTACCCTATCACTGAACCAGCTTCATCTAAGGAAGACATCAAGTTGGTTTTGCATGTGCTCTTGAGAAAGAAGAAGAGGAACGCTGTCATAGTTGGGGATTCTTTGTCCATCACTGAAGGCCTTGTGGGAGAGTTGATGGGAAGATTAGACAAAGGAGAGGTTCCTGATGAGTTGAAGTCAACCCGTTTCATCAAGTTTCATCTAGCACCAGTCTCCTTAAGGTCCATGAAGAGAGAAGAAGTTGAAATGAACCTCTTGGAGCTGAAAAGAAAGGTGGACTCCACTGCATCAGGAGGAGGAGGTGCCATTATCTACATTGGAGATCTGAAATGGACAGCGGAGGCAACTTTTTTTAGTGAAAAAGAGGAGGAAGGAGAAGCATCTGGATATAACCCAGTGGATCATCTAATTGCAGAAATAGGAAAGTTGTTCTCTGACCACGGAAGCTCATCAAATGCTAAGGTATGGCTGATGGCAACTGCAAGTTACCAAACATACATGAGATGTCAAAGGAGGCAGCCTCCTCTTGAGACCCAGTGGTCTTTTCAGGCAGTTCTTGTTCCTTCAGGTGGACTTGGCTTGAGCCTTCATGCTTCCAGGTAATTAATCATCTCTTGCCGAGTAGATTAATTGTCTTGAGCCCAAAAATTATAACTCCTTAAAGAAAAGCAAGAAAGCAATAAGAAAATGGAAAACTACTGAAATATTCATTTTGTTGCTTAGTACATGCTGTCAGAAGTATGGTTGGTTGGTATAAGGCAGAAGTAGTTTTGTCGGTACATAACCTTTCAAGACATTAGGTAGCAGAAACTGTGCCTACCAAAAGGAAATTAAATAAAAGTCAGTGAGAAGTTAATTATTATTTAGCAATTACTCGATTTGAATTTTCAGACAACTGTCTATGCTTTTTAAATTAATTTTAGCGTTTATTGAGGCTTCTGTACTCAATTTTTGCAGTGTTCTTGAGTCAAAAATGACCATTTCCCAGAATTCTCATATGCTGGAGAAGAAACTCTTCAATAATAGGGAGGAACAGGATAAGCTCACTTGCTGTGAAGAATGTGCCTGTAACTATGAAAAGGATGCTCAAATGTTCAAGCCAGGCCAGACCAAATTCTTGCCTTCCTGGCTTCAGTCTCATAGCATTGAGGCCCACCAGAAGGTAGCAAACTTCATTTTAAAGAGTGTTAGCATTTGTGCTGTTTATGTGTACGTTTACTTTGCATTCATTTGAGTAGTGGTGGCTCATAAATATAGTTCAATGGTTGCAGGAGGAATTAACCCAGTTGAGAAGAAAATGGAATAGACTATGCCAGTTTCTTCACCAAAGCAAGCATTCCCAGAACCAGTGGAACAACAATGTATACAGCAATCACAGTCCAAATGGAAAGATTTATCCCTATAATTCTTCATATCCCATGTGGTCAAAGCAAGGAAGTATTTTCCCAGATTCAAGTTGTATATCATTTGCAGACTCTGCTGCTAAATCCGCTTATAACTCCAATATTGTGCCTCGATTCCAACGCCAGCAATCATGTACTATAGAGTTCAATTTTAGCAATGAAACTCAGAAACAGCAGCAAGCAATAGCAGAAGAGCCGAGCTTGGAATCTCTAAAGGGCATGGAAGGTAAAGAAGTAAAGATTACTCTTGCTCTTGGGAATTCCCAATTCGGTGGTTCAGAGCCAAGGGAGGAAAATATAACTGATACAGCCCAGCGAAGAGCTCATGTTTGTAACCTATTGCAGGAGAATGTGCCATGGCAATCTGAAACAATCCCTTCAATAGCAGAGGCTTTGGTTGTTAATTCTCAATCAAAAAGGCAAAACGCAACATGGGTGATTTTGAAGGGCGACGACTCTGTAGGGAAAATAAGGTTGGCTCGTGCAATTGCCGAATCGTTCTTTGGTTCAGATGATCTGCTTCTTCAACTGGACATGAAGAAGGAGACTTTAGCATCGCCATCATCTCAAGTGCTGAGGAGGGCTTTGGAAGCCCGTGAAGAAGTCGTTGTCTTAATCGAAAACATTAATTTCGCTGACACTGATTTCAAGAAATTCCTCATAGACATTTATGAAACAGGAAAGTTTGGCCAGGCAATATTCATAGGGACGACCGGTGGCTCAACGATAAACGAAGAACAGGTTCAGGACTCAGTGATGCAATTAACACTGCAGGTCAGCGAAACCAATCCAAACTTGGAGACACATTGCATCCTGGGCCAAAAGCGAAAAGCAGAATTCGATCTGTTCGCCAAAATAAAAAAACTAAGAACCGAAGACAAGGAAGTTGAATCGAACAGAAAGAAAGACTTCTCGAGACAGTCAAGCTTCAACACCCTTGATCTGAACATGAAAGCCAATGAAGAAGACGACGACGACGACGACGGTTATGGTGAGAGTAGCGGGAGCCCCATCTCAAGCGATTTGACCCGAGAAACAATGCCCGATTCCACAAATCCAAATGGGTTTCTGGACTCAATCAAGAACCAATTCGAGTTCAATCGAAGTCCAGCTCGAGAGAGAGAAATGGCAGAGCTATTCTCATCACGAATCAAAGGGTGCTTTGAAGAACTTCACGGGAAGCAAAATGTGAGGAATTTCAGTATAGAGGAGAAGGTGATAGAGGAAGTAGTTGGTGGGTGTGGTAGTTTTACTAACAGAGTGTTTGAGAAATGGCTAAAAGACATTTTTCAAAGAAGCTTAGAAACAGGAAAGGAGAAAGAGGGTATAGGTTTTAGACTTTGTTGGGGTGGAAACGGTAAAGAAGGTAAAGGTAAAGGAGGGGAAATTAGGGTTTTGGATAGTGGTGAAGGTGGGTTCATGAGTTCACGTCTGCCAAAGAGCATCAGGGTTAACTACCTGATGGATTGATGAAGAGGATGACGGACTTTGGCGGGAAGGGTTTTTATGTAAAATTTTTTGATTATTATTACTATTATGCACACTATGTAAAATGGGAGTAATAGGGTTTGGTGTAACTTACTAATTTCCATAATTATAATGCATGGGGGTGTTTCTTTTCTAATTTCTCCTCTCTTAATCATCTTATTTGTTTATAATTATCTGAAGTTCCAACTTTCATAATGTACTTGTTCAAATTTAAGTTAGTTAACTTTAAATGAGAAGTTTTTCTGACATGATTATTTTGATTTTTAACATTCGGATTTAAAATTTTATTTAATAGGTGTTGAATTTTTTTTCTATTTAATTCAATTACCACTAATCAAAGGAGAATGTATTAGTTACTCACGAGATGTTGAGAATAGTGAAAAGAATTTGGTAAAAAAAAAAAAAAAACAAGGTGCAATCTCATATGAGCAATTAATCCTAGAAAATCTCTTAATAAGTAATTAACATTTGAACATAGCAATAATAGGATTTGGTGTAAAACATGACAACAAGTCATGACATATTAGCAGCTCAAGGTTTATTACTTATTAGATTACTTATATGAGAATTCATATTAATATTTTCTAATTGAAATGAAACTTGCTCACCACTTTGGACGCAAAAATCACTCTTTCTACATTGTTAATAATTTTCTTTTTATATAAACCATATGATTGAAATATATTTAGTCATTGACGGGTTGAATTATCAATTATTGTCAAAATTATTTGATTTAACTGACACTTAACACATCTTTTAAGACTCATTTTAACTTTTTATGAATACAATAAGTAATGAATTTTTTTAGAATTTCTCTAAATTTTCAATTACTCCCTTTAGCTTTATTAAGGCATTAGGCCAATAAATAACTTGTAAATTTTAAATAGAACTTGATTTTTCAAATGGTTGAATTTCAAAAACCATTTTCACTCTATAGAGGGTTCGCATTATTGTTTTAGGAAAAGACTAGGCTTAGAAAACAAAGTAGAACTTAAATTCCCTTTTCACTGTCCTTTTTATTCTTTGTTCTTCATTGGTTGCAATGAAGAAACATTCATGTGATGCAACTTTGGCCATGCACAAACAGAATAATATGATTAACAATCCATTCCACTCAAGCAAAATCAGAATCTTTTACATTAAAATAAAATCATGTTCTCTAATCCTAAATATAGGTATATCTTAATTTTAAATGTTAAATTTCAATTCATTTTGTTTACTAAATTTATACTACCTCTAGTCCTAATTATAAGAGCTAGTTGACTAATTTCAAGAAATTAAGGAAATAAGTTAAGTTAGTTATTTATAATAGATGGGTGTTGTCTTTCCTAAAATATCCTTGTTAATCAAATGTAGTGGCTAGAACTATTATTATTAGAAGGACTATTTTGGAAAAAAAAATACATAAACATGAGAAACAAAGTGGATTAGAATCTTATATTTAGGATCAAAATAAAAATCAAACGAGGTCTTATATTAAGGACCGGAAGTAATATTTTTTTTCTTGAACTACCTTTATTTTTTTGGTAAAACGAAAATAAAAAGAGAATTTTCATTTTCACTAAAAAAAACCAATATCTACTTTTTAGAACAACTAACTTAATAATTTTAATATCTATAAATTAATTATCTAGTTACGTTTAAAATTGAAGAGATTAATTATAAAAAATAGGAATAATAATGAGGATATGCAACATCCTCCACTACAAGACAGAGACGCTTTAACATTCCAAAAATTAAACTCTTTAAAACAGGGAACGATCATTACTTTGACCTAAAAAGGCTTGCATGATTGAACGGCGCCTGTGGGTCCTGTCTTCCCATATTACAACACAATCATCATTCTTATTTTTCTGCCTAATTATCTTGCACATATCCCACATAAATATATATATATATATATATATATGTTTGATTATTGCTTTGGCAAAAGCACTTGAGTGTCCTGCTGTTTTAATTAATTATGCAAAGGTTTTCACTTTTCACTATCATAGCTGAATCATAAATCCACGTCCATCCATTTTTCTTCATTTCAAATTCCAACTTGGTCCCCATCTAATAATTCACTTCTTGCATCCAAACAAAACTTAACTCGACTTCTACTTTTTAATTATTGTTTTATTAATTATCCAACTCTTGTAAAGGAGTTCCATACTATATGTCTCGTGAAAAAGTTTCTTTTTTTTTTTGGTACAGCAATGATTGGTGCTTGATTTTTTTTTTGGTGTATTTGGATTACTTTTTTTAAATTGAAATTTTCTTTTTTGAAAAAATTTAATTGGAAATAAAATATTTTTTGAAAAAAATAATGTTGCCCGAGTCAAGAATTGTCAAATAATTTATTGTTATTAAGTTATAGAACAAAAAAATCTATGCATCATGATTTTGTTGGAAGTGGACAATATTTGTAATGTAGTTTTAAGTAATTGATGATTGTGTCTAATCTTGGCGTGTTATACAGTTCACCACTTCTTTACCACATAAAAATATATTCTTATCTAATTTAATCTTATACACAAAATTATCTGAATAATAATACATGTAATTAAGCAGTATTGACCAGCAATTCAGTTTTTACATTAAAGGCATATAATCTCTCTCTTTTCTTTGTCAAACATTAAAGGGATATAATCTAATTAAAGTTTAAATGATCCAATATTCAAATATTAATATAATTAAAATATAAAAACGCAGCTGACGGTGGCTGGGTTGGATGATATGAAAGTGACCTGATTTTTATAAAGTAATATGAGTGTTTGAACTGGAGAAAAGTCTCGCATTTTTGCTATTCATTTTTTGTGGGATAATTTTATTAATCTTGTGCACACAGAAAATAAAATTTTCTTTTATTATTCATTTAAGGAAACATTTTTCCAAGTGTTTTTAAATATTTATTATTCTTTTGGTTATTTAGCATATTATTCGTTTTATTAAAATATTTATTATCATTATAACTGTTACTCCCTTTTTGTTTTTAATTCCCGTAATCTATAATAGGAATATAATATACAAAAGAATTAATCCTTTTCTACCTCTTCAGAGTATTAAGTCAAAAACTTAATATGAGGACATGTAACAAAACCGAGGATAATCTCCTTTTTTTCAAATGAAATTCAAATACCCCAAGACTCAAAGGAGTTAATAAATTGAATGCTTAATCTCCATTTCTAATATATGTTCACCATATATGTTCACCGATCTTCCCTTCAATATTGACTCATCCAATTCTCAAATTCATTTTCTCTGTTCACCAACATCAACAAAAAAAAGGGGAACTGTCGCTATGAGATCTTCTCATAAATTAACGAAACAAAATCTTCTTCTAAGATTTCAACAGCCATGTGAGTTTCCCCAGATCACAATAACATTTGTTATTTACAAGTTTTGTATATTTTTTTCCTATCCATAAACCCAATGCTTTTTTCCATATAAAATTGCCTCCTAATGATAAACCTCGCATACATTTTATCTTTTTTGCATTTAAAATAAAAAATTATCCTGATGATAATTTCTCACCGTGCATCGCACAGGGGTGTCACTAGTTCTTAATATAAAAGTTACTCGATTAATTTGAATAGACTAAAAAAGTCAAGTAAACTAGCTAATTATAACAAATGTAACATAATATTAAATTATATATTAATTTATAAGTTAGGTAAATTGGTTTAAAAAAATGATAAAAACACAAGAGATAAAGTAAATTGAGATTTTATATTTAAAAATAAATCTAATTCATCCACTAATTCTTATATTAAAAATAGAAAGGGGGGAGAATACCACATTGCAAATAGTGAAATGTCATGATGAGTTTGGTTTGAAATAAAAGCCCACTTCACGCTTCATGCATGCACCTGTGTGTCACTTTCGGGCAAACTGCCATCCACCAAAGTGGAAATGGAGAAAGCATTTGGATTAATGGCGTGAGATTCTTGAAGAAAAAAGTGTTAATATCCTTGTGATTAAGGTGGTTCTTCATCATTACAAACCCCATTTTGGTTTCTCTGTTTCCTTCCTTTTTCTTTTGATGAGCTTAGGTTTACCTTAGAAGGGGCCCCTCTCTTTCCACACTCAATTAGTGCTCTAAAAGAGGCTATCAATTGAGTTCTCAGTTGGATACAAAAGGCTCACAATGATGTATGTTGTCATGCCCAATCATCTCTGTTCATAATGCAATTAAAACGTCTTAAAAAGAATACAAAAGTTAGGTAGATAACCCCCAAAAAAGATATCACCCCAATATGCCTTGAATCATTACCATTCCTACTGTTTGTATATACAACTAATACGTACCTTTGTCAAATAATACGTACCTTTCCTATGTGATTGTATATAGTTTTCATACATCAACTTTACTTATAAAATGTGTCATTTATCTGCCTAAAAGCTAGTGACTGACAAAGGTACGGATGGTATGCATTATCATGTTTTCTCACTAATTCTACTTTATAGTTTCAAGAATTGAATCAAATAACCAATGATACTAATCAGTCTAACTTTATCAGTTCAAATCTTAGTCTGCGATAGAGCTTAGTGATACAATTTAGCCCTATAATGAAAACTGAGACACAAATAAACACAGATAAATTGGTCCTCTCACCAATTCAATATGGGGTCTGGTCTCAATAATTGGAGGGTATTAAAGGTGTAAGAGGAGGGGCCAAGGCCCACCAGAAGTTGAAACTGTTAAACTACTTTCATGCTGTGAAAGATAAATACATTAAAATTGAAGAAATGCAAGACTGATGATGATGATGCAGACAACCAAGGTTGAAGTTGTTGCACCTCTTTAACATTTACCAAAACCTCTTGAGCAGTGAAGAAACTGACTGAAAACCCAGGGCATTATTGTCACAAATTGCCACTCCATATGTAACACACATTTATTGAACTCTTGTACCATCAATAATCTCTCACAAATAAACAATGCTCACTTAAAATTTAAGACCTTTGCAGTATCAAAAGAAGATTACGTGACTTTGACAATATAAACAGCTGTAGTAGAGTATTGAGTATGTATTTGGTTTTACGTTGAAAACTAACTAGAAACCACACACCCCGAAAGAAATAGGAGTAATAACTGCATAATGATATTCAAACACTCGTACTTAACTTGATGGCTTAAAAAAAAAAAAAAAACTCAGAATTAACACAGCTAGTTTTCAGCAAGACTGGCGCAAAGAGAGAGCTTTCATTAACTAAGCGTTGACACACACAAATTAGTCAGCTCCGGGCAGAAAATGAAAATGGGAAGAGACGTAAAAGCTTTCATTATGAGGTTCCCTCTTTACAGTGTTACAAAACTTGCTACATAATGTAACAGCTCCCAAGGGAGGGAAGAAAAAAAAAAGAAGAAGAAGGGCCCTAGGTTAAAACTGGCTAAAGAATGAGAGAAAAGGATAAAGACTTACAGATGAGGGCAAGGAAAAGCTAGTATACAAAAAGAATGACACTAAACCACAGTTGCTAACCTAAAGATCCGGTATGTAATTTAGGAGCATATACAAAAGGGTGGAGCTTTTAAATTTGTCACCCTTTGGCTGAACAACCTGTTATTGTAGAGCAAGTCGAAGAACTTACAATGAATTGAGAGGCGTTGAATACAAAGGTGAATCCACGGGTACACGAACAGAAGGGCAAGTTGAATTTTCGAGATTAAGCAAAGGTTTAAGTCTTCTGTGGACCTCATCACTTAGAAGATTAATCTCTTCTTCAATCATGTGAAAAGCTGTCTTGCAAGACTCCTCGTCTCTGAACGCCAAGGTCCATCTTCCATCTACAGCTTTTGCTTTTACTTGCCCGTAGCCCGGGTGCTTGGCAGGATCCAAAAAGGGTAAAGAGGATGGACGAATCCGCAAGTGTAACCATCTTGGATGTTTTTCATCAATCCTGGGCTGAATGATGAAGATAAAAATGATTGATATAGATATAATTTAATATTCATCATTCCAATTAACATTGCAACAGAAATCTAAATCAACCAAATCAAATTTGCAACATAACTATCAGCACGTCAATCTCCTAGTTTCAAACAATAAAGATGCAAGAATTGCAGGTGCACATACATTACTCCCAGCCAAAGGTGCAGTAACGCGAACAACTCCATATTGCTTCTTCAATGGCAATTCTTCCACAAGCGCAAGCCACCCTGATGTTCCCACAGAGATTGCTAGAAAGCAAAAATGACGTTCTTTGCCCCTCTCAAAAGCAATTCTACAAGGTACAGCGTTAACTGCACATGGAAGATGGAGCAATTTTACCACCCGAAAATAGCTACTTGATAGATGACTTAGTGTTATCTAGCATTTTTCTCTTGACCAGAAAGGAATTCCAGACAAACAAAAACGACAAATAACTACATCTTGTGTGATAAACTATCATAAGTTGTCAGTTGATTCCATCATATTTCATTTTAGGGGGCAATCTGATCCCACGTGTTGAGTGCTGACAGGTTCGTTACCAGGAAAGTGGAGACATCAGCTTCATGTTGCCTTCATTATTTTCTTAAGTGTTAGGCCACAGTTACAACACGTGTTTCTTTTTGGGCCCCTGAAAGCATACATGTGGAAGCATCCCTTCAAGCCATTTCTTAACCTCAGCATAGAATAGAATATTTCTCTTCTATACCAGTTTAAAAAGAAGTGATCAACATCTTATATTCACCACCGAGTAGTCTAAGCTTCTCATAGATAGATGACAACTTGTTTATGGTCGTCATTGAAATATAAATCCGGCATCTATGATACAGAAATGCAAGCTTTTTCAATCCTTTTCTAACATCCAAGGTGTTGGATTATTAGTATATGAACAGTAAACAACCAATTTACAGATCCAAGTATCACAACGAAATTAAAAGGAAAAAATATTCCATATCGCTTTCCCTCCTGTTAAAAGGGGGAAATATAGGTCAGGAAGAATGTTAACGGTGGAGAAGGATTAATGAAGCCAAAGCATGTTAGAATAACAAAAATATATTGATAAGAATTACCTGGAACACATATTAGGATCGCGAGGATTATTAGGCTATAAAGTAGGGTTTATTAACAGTTGATTTTAACTATTTAAGGATTTCAAAATACTCTGGCTTCTCAGAATATGCAATCGAGATTATGGAGTCCCAAATCAGGTACCCATAAATCATTATGGCAGTATTTAAGCAACATAGTTCTTCTCCCTTACAGGTCAGCTTTTAAGGGTGGATTCACCATACGCTCAGGTCCCCATCAATTATTACCAAAACTAGACAGAAAGAACTGCAAATCGAAGCTCAATTAAGTGGCCAAACTGATGAGTGCTGCAGATTGCGGTTTTCAAGGATGTCAACTCTTAAGGGGTGGTATTATGATGGAGTCCAACAATAAGCATCCAAAAACACTCATGCGTGTTTTGGAATTGAAATTATGATGGCGTCCAGCATCAGTAAGGCATTAATACTTCTTCCGGTACTTATGTGGCATGGTTCCTCCGCTTTACAATCCAATTTTTTAAAGGCACGTTCCTCATGTGTGCTAAGGTCTCCATGATGTGATTAAAAGGGGAGATTCCTGTTCTTACTTTGGTCTTCGTGTGATTATTGAGTTGATCTAGTACCGCCCACAACCCCCCACCAAAAAAAAAAAAGAGGCCAGGCAAAAACCTAGAAAACAAACCGTAAATGTCCTTATCATATCCCCTCCTTTCACTGTTCTCTCAGTGTGACTTGAGAGCAACAACCTTAATACATGTAAAATTAGTAGTCCAAAATACTTACCAAGACTGACTTCAGTGCCTGGTTTTGGGTATAGTGCATCAAGGCCAGAAGTTTGGGCACGAGAATCCACAGGCAGATCACCAGGAGGAAGAATGGGAGGTTGTTCAGGCAAAGGTCTTCCAAGGGTGAAAATTTGAAGTTGGTGCAGAAGTACAAACACCTGAAGTGGAAGGAAGACAAGGAGCTCCTCATCATCTAAAGGCATATACCACTGATGAAGCACAAGAATCCAGAACTGTAACGTCTAAAACATGGTTTGCAAAAAACAAGCTCAGACCTTCACCAACTCGTGCATTCTTTCACCAGCAGCAAGTGATGACCCATCTGGAATATCATCTGTAGAGGAACAAATACATCATTTTCATGTCTTCTTACCATAACAGTTTTGGCTAACGGAAAAGCTAACTGTTAAACAAGTTTACCTTGTGAAGAGAACTTCTGAGGTGGTATAAGGAGGAACTTAGGGTCCTTCCGAGGAGATGATGACTCCATTGCTGCAGGTAGAAAATTTTGCAGTTTGAACATATAAGTAAATCTTTGGAATCACACGAATTCAGCAGGAAAAACAAAGAATAAATAAACAATCACCTCTTTTGCACCTTCTCCACTCATCATGGAGAACAGTTACAAGTAGATCAGACCAGATACCTTTAACCTCCTCTGTGAGAGCAGAAGCACAATTCTTATATGAAACCTGTATTTGAGAGGAAGACATGAGTAACTACAACTATGAGAAGCAACTAGTACAGTATGATACTAAAATGTAGCATGAAAAGATCAAGCATTGGATATGTTTCTCAAGAATTTTCACAATCACAATGTTTAAAACTGACCCAAGAAGCATGGACTAACACAACACAACAAACTTTGTAGTGTCAGCATGAAATTTAAAGCGTTGTATAAAGCTAACTATTCATTTGAAAATAAGAAACAAAAGTGACTTTCTTTGTCCAAGAGTATCCTTGTTTCGTATTTAGAGTGTCAATCCAGGCATGGTATACCCTATACTCCAAAATTAAAAAACCCTTGCACAAGCATTCACACAAAGCTTCCTGACCCTGCCACTCAAGTTTCATTTATATATTGCTAGTTAATGGGCCTTGGGCCTAAAACCCTAACCTAGCTTTCTAGTTTTCTCCCTAATTAACCTAGGTTAGTAAGCTGCTGTCAAGATAGATAGTATTAAATCTGTTGGACATTAGTTTGATTTTTTGAATCTGATTGTATCCTAGAATCTCGGCCTATTCCTAGAATGCCGTGATCTCACTCACTCTTCACTGCTCCTATGTATCTATTTATACCGCTGCCCATTCTGAATAAGATGCAACATATTTTTATCATAAAATCACACATATATAAGCAGTGAGGATCCATTATTCTCTATTACCTTCTTATTACGTCTGATTTGTATTTTCTTCAGAAGAAATTCTATGTTCCCCTATTAGACATAGAGAGTTTTTTTAAAAGCTTACACATTAGCAAATCATCTATCAAAAATTGTTATTTTATGATCCATTTCATGCTTCCATCTCAACAGCTTTCTTGACGTTGATTGAGGTATTATTCAGTTTACTCCTATACAGAACCATCATTCCATTCGAAAACCCTTTTTTTTTTTTTGGGGGGGGAAATAATATCTTTTATCCCATAGCACTGGATCGTAACATTTTGATGTTAAAACTTAAGTCTGGATCGTAATCTTCCTTCAAACTTCTCACAACCTCCTTAACAGCTTCATCAACCTAGTGTCCTTAGAAGGTCAATTTTTTTTATATCACCACCAGTAAGCACGTCCCTGGGACAATTTTTGAAGGTTTGGGCTCATCAAGAAAAATAAGTGGGGAACTTCTTGAATCTCGAAGAGGTTTATAACAAACCCAATTTAATCATTTTTGTGTGAATGATGCATAGAAAATCAAGATGAGAGATGTTATCCCCAGACAAGGATGACAGGTCAGATAAAGTTTATCTACAATAATACAATAACTCCGCAGTCAAATTCTTTATACAGTTAGATAATTCAGGTTTAAACTAAATCATAATCAAAATATGGTTTAGCTCTCTAGGTCAGTAGCCCTTCTATGACATACCTACAGACATCATATCAATGGAATGAACAAAAAAGTTTCGAAGAAGAACATCAATTATATGGTTAACTCGTGCATGATTGCTTTCTATCCATATATTAGCCATGCCATGAGGACCCATCAACCCCACCCCGTTATTATATCAGCCCACAGGCCATTTGTAAAGAATGTAAAAATCATAGACGTATTGAAGTTCTGCAAGTTTGTTGCTAAGTAAAACCATATTTGTTCTTACTTTCAGCAATTCAAGGTGACGGTTGTTGAATTCTGCCTCGCTGTAAGGAAGCAACTGGCGCAAAAGCCAACCACCATCCCAAAGCGTCTCTGCAGATAAATTAGAACGGCAAAAGAGACTGACTAATGCATCAAGCACCTGAAAAACACAAGCCACAATTTACATCTTATATAACTACTACTTACCATAACAAACACATTATAGGAGAAATGCTATACAAAAACAAGCATTTTAGCATATATAAAATGTCATGAATTTTAGACGGAGCTGACGTGCACTGACTCTATCCTATTATAGAGAAAATGGAAATGAATTATTAAAAGTTTGCTTTGTCAGAGCACAACTTTACACAAGTATCAAGAGAATTCCAAAAATATTCAAGTATAATGAAAATTTTTGGTTTATTTGCTCAAAAAGGAAACCACCATGCTTTCAGCTAAGTTTGTTTGTACGATGGTTCTCCTGTTTTATTCATCAGCTAACTACACCGAGGCTCCATTTGGTCAAACTGAAGGAGAATGGACCTGTTTCCACCGTGTGATAATTGAGATTGAAATGTCTTATATCCCTCTAATCATTACTGATCAACAACTAATTATTTTTACAATTAATTTTCATCTAGGGACACATAGGACATTTTCCATTTAAAAAGTCACATTCCCCCATTCCATTTCACAAATCAAACAAGCCCTTAAGGTCTGCTATTTCTAGAACAAAGGCACAGTGACGGAATATAAGAATTAATATTTTGAGGAAGCCTAGCTTACTTTAATATTTTATTTACTTTCTGTTACAGCTTGCAAGTCGCAGACTTTGTTTTTGTGTTTTTCATCATTTTTGCAAGTCTCCTTCTAAGGAAGGAAACCTAGATAATCTAAATTATTTTGTATCAATCCCAAGACAAAGCATCTCAAAGTTCCCACTCTGTTAGTAGAAAAGGGTGAACAAGAGTATGCACTTAAGCTAAAGGGCAATGAATAATAATTTTGCTTGCGCAGAACTACTCAAGATGCTTCCATATACACATAAATAATCTACGATTTAGAAATAAAACTACTACCACAAACGAAGCACCGCATATCAGCAAATCTCACTAGAGATAAACAATACCTGAAATCTATTTACACGAGGGCTTGTTCCTACTTCAGAAGATGGAAAGAGTACTCCGTACTGCTCCTGCAAGACACATAAAACAAAACAATTAGGAAGCCAACCATCATATGCAAACTTCTATTTTTTTTTTTTAATTTTAATTATCATTATTTAGGTTGGGGGTATCCCCACATAATCTATCAGAATTGAACCGATACCCATCGCATTACAAGTGTGACACTCTAGCCTCTAAGTTAAGTGGGCTCACATAAGTAATGATTTTGAAAAGAACAAAGACGTGCAAAAAATTCAGGAAGAGATGAATAAACTTCAAATGAATTTTATATTGCTGATCTTCACAAACAAAATCTTGCATTGTTTCAATGACATGCTTGTAGCAATCCCCAATTAAATTAAATTCCCTCTTTGACTTTGAAGTTCAAGGAAACCATTTATATCCTTTTTTGAAGCAATAAAGTTCTAACCTCAACTAAATTTTGAGACGTAGTTTTGAAGTGTGTAAACGGAGAAACTGTTAAATTCAATGATCAACCATCCCCAGTTCTCACAAAGTAATACTCCTCCAATTCATAACGTCGGACCTAATTAATTAATTTGAGTAGGTTAAGGATATTACATTAAAATTAATTAATATGATGTGTTCTTTCTAAAACATCCTAAGCATCTTTCTTAATTCCATTCCTTCCTCTCCTATTCGATTATTGTTGGGGAATATCAATAGGGTTAATTTAAAAAAAAATTGATAAATACTACCTCTGATCCTTAATATAAGAGCTAGTTGACTAATTTGATTAAATTAAGAAAGTTTGTTAAGTTAGATTTTTGTAATAAATAGGTGTTGTCTTTCCTAAAATATCCTTGTTGATCTAGTGTATTGACTATAATCACCATTATTATAAGGGTTACCTTGAGAAAAAATAGATAAATATAAAAGACAAAGTGGATTAAAATCATATATTTAGGACCAAAATAAAAGTCAAATGAGCTCTTATATTAAAGACCGAAGGTAGTATATGCAATGGGTCTTGCATATGGAACCTACATTAACTCCCCGATTAGGTCCTATATTAAGGACTGGAAGAGTACATAATTATGGTGCCATGATACTAAATACCAAGATGTTATTATATTAAAGGCACGATCCAGATTTTAAAATCGGCGTTAAGCAGAACCTGCTATGGTAATACCCTATATATTCACATCCATCATGGCAGCAAAGTTCACCAACCATGGGACAACCATTAACATGAATATTGTTAATGATCCTCCAATGGAAAAAGAAAAAGGAGGACTCAAACTATCAGATATGGAATTGACAGCTATCATAACTGGTTAACAAGATAGGATCATGCTGCTTTTCAAAAAATCCAAATACAAAGAATGAGCAGCAGCAATTTAAGTATAGAAGGAACTACAGACCTTGATCTTTCCAACATAGACGTCAAGCTCAACACTGATGTCATCCTTCGTCAAGCTACTTTCTGAAGAAAAAAGTTGCTCCTCACCTGAAGCCTCACCAACTAAAGCTTGCTACACAAATATGCATTGCCAAATGCCATATCAACAAGAGACCATACTCATCAAAAAGGGGGAAAGAGAGAAGTTGCTCTTCATCGAAAGGCATACCAACAAAAGCTTGTTGCACAAGCATGCATTGCCAATTAAATGATATTTTGACAAGACAATAAATTCGCCAAATTTTGAAAAAAGCCCCAAAGTAACATCATATCGTAACTGTAAGTTAGTTGCAAACCAACTGATAGATAAGCCTAATTTCAAACCTTGCTAGGAAAAAATTTAAAGCAAATATAGAGATTATTATTAAATCATCCTGGATTAAACATTCTATATGTATCATTACCATGTCAAAGTCTCCTCACCATACTTATAACTATTTCTTCCACCCAACAAAGGAAACAGAAAGCCTTTCTATGAGAATCGTTCAGGATGTCATACACATGCATCCAGATTCCAGGCTCCGCTTTCTTGAAACCAAATTCCCTTGTCAAGGCTTGAACAAGAAAACTTCTACTACAAGCAAAAGATAACAACAGGGATTACAATTTTTCCCATTTTTGTTCCTTCCACAAAACAACTCTCCTCCCCAGCCCACGAAGCCATGAACCTCCACTTCATTTGCAGTGTTTTGTATCCTTGAATGTAGTGTTATCAAAATTTTCTATGGTTCAGACTACTAAGTATTAACAGACGTAGTTAGCATCTAAATTTAAATAATTTTGTTCATTATTTACAGATTAAAATGTCTATGCAAAATGCAGGTAGCTTTAAAACTTATCTAAAAAGCAATTATGCTAATAGAGTGCTAATTGAACCAAGCTTCTAGAATCAGGATATAACTAAAAAGATTTAACTATAATAATTAATTTTTTCCACGTAGCAAGCATAAAAGACCATATTTGGGCCATAAAATTTAATAGAAAACAGGTCAATAGCCAAGAGAATCTTGTGTGGAAATTTTAGCATTATAGTAATTTGATCTGACCAACCCAAAAGACAAAAAGAAAAGACCAACTGTCGAATGCTTATATACAGACATACATCAAAATGGAAGAAAGTGACGTACCAATAGAAGTTTTTTGTGTTGTTTGCGTTGTGGAAGAATTCCAAGCCCGTCAAGCATTGATTCATCAAGTTCTACAGAACAAGATACATTGAGAGATCAGAAATACATGCAATGGTGAAGCAATGGAAATCTTAGCCGTACAACCTTTAGTTTGCAGCAGAGTTGCAAGCACATTCAAAGAACCCAAGACTTCTAGATCATCCCCCTTTGTTAAGTATGCAAGCAAAACCTCCCTAAAGAAACCATAGAAGTTATGACAGGAACCAGACAGGATACATAATAAAAAACAAAAAAAAACAAAAATCAAAATAGCAATTTAAATTGGGACATTGTGGCATTGCACTGCGATAAGTCATGCCAAAAGCTACATAGGTAACAACTCTCAATTCAAAGTATTTAAAAGATCCAAAAATAAATTGAAATTCTGTAAGTGAACAAAGTGTCTTTTACCTTATAGCCAAATTTGAATCACTAGCATCATTTTGTGCGATCACATGTTCAGGATGAAAACCTGAAGAACCAGATGAGCATGGAGCACTGTCCATTGAGCATCTAGCATCATTGTTGGTAAAACTACCATCTTCTGACTCTTGCCTTTCAGATGTGAAGCCACGATCAGATATATGGCCATTGACTTTACGGCTATAACTTTTTGCAAATGCCTCCAAGGGATAAAAAAGAGCAGCAGCTATTGTATTCGCCAAATCTTTGATTTTGACGATCCTCAAGATGCAACAAAGTAAGTAGAGAGAAGTGACAACACCACTTTGCATGTCCTGAATAAACAAATTACCGAATATTAATGAGAAAATGGTGCAAAATGTAATCAAAACTCTTCAATAGAATCTCATACAAAGAGAAAAGTGGATCAAAGAAATGAACAGAGAAGACACCGAAGTTTCATACATTAACAGCAACTATCCTCAGGGAAGGAAGAAGTAATGGAAATATAAGAAGCATAAGGATGCTGTCAGTTATAAGCCTTCCAACATCAGGAATTCCCGCAGAGACAATGTCACTAAAATAGTAAAGGTTATCCTCAATTTCATCCACCGCAGCATGAATCGTAGAGGTCCAATCTGACCGTGGATTTCTGTCTCAGTAACCAACAATTCTCCCTTAGATACAAGAAAATATAAATAATATTTCAAACGAAATTAAAAAAACATTAATGCTTACGTTAATATATCAGATAGAAGTCTATTTAAATCCACACACTGCTTCCTAAAAAATGAAATCAGGTCTGAGAAGTAATTGGTATGAGGTGCGCTGGTTATATATCTGTTGACACTTTCATCTCCAACTGAAAAATTGTAATATAGATATGTCAAATCAACATTTTTGCATGATAAGAGGACTCAGTTCAGGATTGATTAGGCAGCACCGACACCCCCCCCCCCCAATATACATGAAAAATGTCATAACTAAGGCAGTAAAAACTCACCATGATAAACATTAAGGGTCACAGTACGTACTGCAGTTCGAACCATGTTTTCCTCGTGAAAGGCAAAGCGTATGGCTTCAACATATAGTGGGAAAGAAACTACTTCTTCCTATATGAATAGAAAAATACAGTAAATATGTTTGGACCTCTCAAAATCAACGGCAGTTCAATCTAAACCTGAGCCAAAAGATATAATCCCTCTGCTAAGTTTGTATATACGATAGAGTACTGTGTGAGCAGTACAGCAGTGGATGAGCGGTCTGCACAGTGAACAGAAGTGGGAATGGGAAGTGGAGAAGTGGGGTGAAAGAATAGAAGTCATTAGAAGTCCATTACCCATGGTATGCAACCATGTTGTGTCAAGTTCTGTTATTATTTTATTTTCATTAGTTTTATTATATTAATCAGCACTTAAATAGCAATTAGTGATAGGAATAGGTGCCTTATGATTGAATTGTTAGTGAGTTGGAGATTCTCCTGGCCTTATTGGTTTTATGAGGTTAGGATTCTTGCTCATAATATCTAGCAAAGATTATTTCCCTCCTTGATTATTATAGGTTTTGGAGTTTGAGATTCTTGCACTGATTGTCTCTAATAAATTTCTACTTCCATTCCTATTTCCTAATTAGATCCTCTCAATGATATATGATGTGGACTATAGGTAGGGAATGAGAGAAAGAGAGGGAGAATCAGAGAAGAAAAGATAGAACAGAGAGAGAGACACAGAGGGAGAGACGAGAGAGAGATAGAAGATAAATTCAATTCCATTCAACTCATTATTATTCCCATAACCTCATTGCAACTTGCCCAATTCCGCCTGAATATAGACCTAAGGACCTATTAATTGACTCCAGAGAATTAAAACTCTCACCTCACTAGATTTGAATAGTATAGAAGGCCCGTTAGCCTTCTATCTCAAAGTCACACACTTGGAAAAACAGTAACATTTGTATTTCTAGTTGCGAAGCACGGAGACAGAAAAGCTAGTTTAATGATATTATTTCAACCCACTTCGACCAATCACCTAACCAGTACGAGACCTACAACAATGGAAAAATATGCCACATATCCAAACTGTCACACAATAAGTAAGATTATAGGATTTACATTGACCTCCTACTAAAATCCAAGAAGATTCGAATCTTCCATAGGATCAGCATCACTAGGACAATTAGGAAATGTACGATATCTTGACATTCGCAAGTCTGATAATACACAAGTCCTGATCCAAATGACAAGGAAAAAAAAATTCATCTTTGATAATTTTCCTTTTCTTGGGACTCCAAGCATGTCCCAGGTGACACCACCGAGTCCAAGAATATTCCTGACGAGCTGATTAATAACCGCAAAGAAAAGTTTGATTTTAGTTGTTTTCATTTTTTGGGACTGTCGTGTCCAAGTCATGTTTGTCACACATTCAACCAGAAATATATTATTTTATTCTGATACATCAACATATGTTGTCAGTGTGTCGTGGCAATGTTCGTGTGCAATACACCTAAAACCAGGTATGTTTAAAATTCTACAAATTTATTAAAGTGTCCTTTTCTTTTGTTGAATATTCCTGACGAGCTGATTAATAACCGTAAAGAAAAGTTTGATTTTAGTTGTTTTCATTTTTTGGGACTGTCGTGTCCAAGTCATGTTTGTCTCAACCAGAAATATATTATTTTATTCTGATACATCAACATATGTTGTCAGTGTGTCGTGACAATGTTCGTGTGCAATACACCTAAAAACAGGTATGTTTAAAATTCTACAAATTTATTAGAGTGTCCTTTTCTTTCGTTGACTGTGCCATTAAGCATAAAATTGAATGCATGATTGCCCAAGGTTTACAAACAGTACCATTAATCCACCTTATATAGCCAGAAAGTGTAGAGCTAGAAAAGCCCGCCAAAATGTAGTCTCCTTTACCATTCCAATGCTATCAAAATGATAACATCTAACCAAGAATTACAAAATTACCATTCAACAATCTTCAGCACCATAATTCGAAAGCTATGAAAAGAAAACCCAGCAGAAAGAAAACTTACATTGTGAGTCTTTACAAGCAGAGAAATTGTATTCTTGTTCAATTTTCCACTTATTGCCCTACAAAAAGATCAAAAGACATGCAACCGAAGAACTAATTAATGATACATTACCAAAAATTAGAAGTGGTGGAGGACAAAGAATTTTACGCAAGGAGATCATAACTACTTTCTATCAGTATGGAATACCTTAAAAAGGATATGTAGTATGACAATAGCTCTTCATTGCGAAAGTCAAATGAATATGTTATCAAGTAGTTCATATGTTCGTTACTAAACATATAGTCTGCAAACATCTCAACAGACAACATCACCGTCAGTGTTGCTACAGTGATAGAGAAGCTTACGTAACGAAAGAAAAAAGTCTTCATGAGATAATAATCTTACAAATAGCATGTTCACTTTTCAGGTTTTGGATCATAATGCTCACTGTTTGCAGCAACTGGAGTGAAACACTAACAGTTGTGCTCCGTTTTAGAATACGTACAAACTCTCCCATGACCTGCCTTTCCATGAAGAATCTGACACAAGCCAGGATATAAGAAGTTGCTGGTACGGAACATGGAAAGCAATTATATAAAGGAAAACAAGCAGCAAGGAATCTCACTCAAAAAAGCTCGAGTCATGTTGGTCACCATATGTTATCAACTCCGCAATTGATCTCAGTGCCTCAACAACAAAATCCTTCCACCCATACAGAGGTGAGAAAACCAAATGATGGGAAAAGGTCAGCAAAAGTATTAAGCTACAAAAAATCTTGAGGGAATCATTTATAACTGATATATATTACCTTGTTAACATCATTAACGATTTGAACTTTTGCCAATTGATCGCTCAAGTACCTAAACACCAAAAGACAGCAAAACCAAGCTAATGGGTTACGAAGATACAAATCCAGCAAATATAGGAACCCCTTTTTTTTTTTAATTCAATTAATGAAGAAACTTTATTAGGAAGAAAGAAAGGCACAAGAGACTAGGGCTGGATATCCTCCTAAAAAAGAGAACAAAAGAAAAATTAAGAACCATGGAAAAAAGCCAAATAGAAGACACAAACATAACCTGATAACATAAGATATGCATGTAACGGAACGAAGCCACAACCTGAGAGTGCCCCCAGTTTCTAAATTAAGAACACAGCTTCAAACATTCAAATACGTAGAATTGAATTAATGTAATATTTAGCTACGAGAACCAGTGCTTATAATAAACTTAGTCAAGGAAGTCATTGCCACAAGATCCAGAATGCCAGATACAGGCGATAGTTTTCTTCTATATGTATTAATGATCATGCAAAACATTCAAAGACATTTATATGCATAAATGTTAGCTTAAACACATCAAATCAATAATAATGGACAGATATCAAAGAAAAGATAGTATAATGTAACCCCACTGTTACCATAAATGAAGTTATTTTGGCACAGGGTTTTAGAAAACTTGCATATAGAAGTGGCTAAAAATTTAGAAAGGAAGTGTCTGAATAAAATATAGAGAGATGAAAGGAGTGCAATACTAATATGTTAAATCCACCAAAAAGGCGTGTATCATGAAAATGCCCAAACCCCAGAGATATTACTACATTGGATGTGATTTTCAGTTTCCACTTCAACAAATTCCTCTACGTGCTTTGGCACTTAAGAAAAGCTTGCTCAGGGCAACATAATCAGCTATATTAGCCAATTTTCAGATTTTTTTATCTCCACACATGGTATCCCACTAATGTTTTTTTTCTTCAATGCTCACGGAGGACAAATTGTTTTGAGTAGGGACGTGCAGGCCTAAACAGACTATACCATTGAAGCAGATACTGCAAATGCAATTAGAAGACCCAATCCCACGTCCACACTCCATATAAATACCTCCTGATAATGCTACAAACCAACCAACGGCCATATCCAGCCTCAAACATCATGTCAAAGCTATAGCATAGAAATGCACTGCCTTCCAGAAAAATATGATTTCTCAGTAACAAAAAAAGACCGAAAGTGGAAACAAAGCATCCTTCTGGCAAAGCTGTCTGGAAACATTCACAACCCCTTCCCCATTTCTTTGGCAACAAGACAGTAACAGAGAAGTAATCATTTCCCTTCATCCGTAATACATCGCTTCTGTGTCCCTCTTCTGTCCAACCCCTTTTACTATTCTAGAATACATATATGAGAAGATAACAGACAACTATAGTCTCAAAATCATTCTTTGTGGCATCACGCATATCAAAGCCTACCTCATCTGCATATCCAAATCAAGAAGATGCTAACTCTAGATCCATATCTCTGGAAACTAACTATATAGACAAGGGCATGAATAACCCCACAACACCATGCTTATATAATGGTAAAGATAAAAATTAGCATTAAAGCGCTCGTCTTGAACCGTTTCTCTAAGCAAAAACAATAAGAAAGCGAAGTTTCATATATGTTCAAACGTTGCTATTAAGGACTTAAAGCATAAAACGAGACATAATTGTGGATCCACTGAACTTTGATAAACATGTTCTAGTTAAGGACTTCAAAAGCATGAAACGAGGCATAACTGTGGCTCGCCTGAACTATTGACAAGCACTCAGGTAGATAGTTTTGAACGTTAGATACGCAATGCTTGTTAGCCCATAAATCATACAATGCAAATTTCAATGAAATAACCACTGAGTTCCATAAATTTCCCATCTGCGTTCCATGGTGATATGTTCCCTCAATCCGAAAACCAGAAGTTCAAAGTACTTTTATCACCACTGTATTTCCAAATACACCAACAAGCGACCACTCAAATTTACCCCGGTGAGAATTCATCGCGGCAAGCAGTTAAGGAAGCCAAGTGCTACACAATTTGCCCAGTCATTCTTATTAAAGGTTCAATTGGAGTGACAGGTTAAAATCCAGTACTACACAAGCAAGCCAAATTGAGCTATGTAGCCAATCCGTGACCGACCTGAGTTCATCAAGGGAAAAACGATCTCTGGATCTCCAGAAGGAAAGCCACATGATTGAAAATGATCAAACCTCCAAACTGAGGCCACTTAAGTTCATTCTGAAGCCTTTAATAAATGTCCCAAAGTGGTCCCAATTGTGAAGATAGAAATCATATAATTGACAGTGGTAACGCAGCAGAAATCGAAGAGCTCGTCCTGCACCAATCGGAAACTGCTCGATCCTCCCGAGCAGCTTCGGAGCAAGAAACTGCCTGATCTCAGAGACAAAGAGATGAAGAGATACAGAGAGAGAGTAGGGTTTTTGAAGGATCGTGATCAAAGGAAACTGTTCAGAGAAGAGGAAACAAAGAATATGCTTGTTTCGTTCCGTTTGGTTTTGGAGGAAGCCAAGCCAGGCCAGGCCAATGAGGTGGCGTACCGAAAATGAAAAAAGCTTGAGAATATTGCAAAATTTCAGTTAAGACAACTCTCGAATGTTGCGCGGTGATAATGGGAGTGGAAGCCTCGGCGGAGGAGCCTCTCTCGTGGATCGGGTTTCGTAGCACCGAATCACAATATAACAAAGCCCACTGGGCCCCTTTCTTTAACATTTTGGCCCGTCTTCCTTCTTTTATTGGGCCTGTTTTCTTTAACTTTTGGGCCGATCGTCCTTCTTCATTGGGCCTATTATCAGATGACTTCTCTTGGATAAATGGGCATTTGGGCTTTGCTGAAAACATATTTAGGGCTTGTTTGGTGTACAGAAATGAGTTGGAAACAAGACAATGAAGTGACAATTTTGATACATTTGTGAGAGTATCTTGATATTTCCTCTTTACTTCATTTTTATTTCTACCCTACTATGACATTTAGAAATCAGAATATTAACCATTAACCAGTCTCTTAGAGGATAACACCGTTCTCACCCATTTGAGTTGGTTTTTTTCCCCCCTAATATCTTGCATCAAATAGAATTATACTATCTCCGGTTCTAATTATAAAATCTCATTTATAGACTACGAGGTTTTATAATTAGAATCGGAGATAGTACTGTGATTTTTAATCTGAATTATTTCTTACATTCCATTGTTATTTTTTTATAAATATTTTTTGTTAAACCAAATGTAACGACTTAATAATATATTCTCTAGATTCACCGAAGGTTTTTAACGCGGGATTACTATTTAATAGGGTTGGCTCAGATATTTTTTTAAGTCAACATTAAGTTTCTACTAAAAAATTGTAATGTGTTTTTAATATGATAACACAAATGAATCCATGAAAGCATGCCTTATGCGTGTTCATTCGTATGAATTAGTTTATGAGAGAATGATTCAGATCACAAGACTTTTTATGCTTCTTGTTACATATTTTAAGATATTTTTTGGCCTTCTCTATTTGTCACGAAACATATTAACGCAAGTGATCCTGTTTAATAAATTTTATTACCTCCTGTTATTAGCTTAAAAGTTAGTTTAATATTTAATTTGATCCTAAATATAATATTTCAATCTATTTTATCTTTTATATTTATCTATTTTTTTCAAAGTAATCTTTATAGTAGTTACATATCAAATGGTAATCCTAATTAATACACGTGATTAACAATGGTATTATGAGGGAAAAAATACATATTTATTATAAATAACTAACTTAACAAACTATTACAAATAATTAATTTAGTAAATTTTTTTAACCAATTAAATTAGTCAACTAACTCTTATATTAAAGATTAGAAGTGATATTTTTTTCTAGGTCCTTCTCCGTAATTTTCCCTTAGGTTAAAGTAAACGGCCTCTCAATTATTGCAAAACACGACATTTCTAACGCACTTTGGAATTAATTAATTGATAATTAATGCTAGTAGTACCATGTAATTAGATTCCTTCCAAGAACTAATTAATATTCACGTGACTAACTAAAGACGAAGCTTTCTTAATCATGGGCTATACGCCAATGCCCACGTTTTTTTGGGCCAGAGCCGATACCCACGTTAATGCTGTAGTAATTTAGAAAAGGGTTGAAACTAGAAACCTAGGAAACGCAAGTTTTATTTATTTATTTTTTTTGTTTTTTTGGCCAACGCAAGTTTTATATTATACATACGTGTGTGTACTCGTCTTTTTCCCACGTGGAGTTATTAGAATTTTATACTAGCTCCAGTCCTAATTATAAGAGTCAGTTGACTAATTTGAAGAGATTAAGAAAGTAAGTTGAGTTAGTTATTTCTCCTGAATAAGTATTATCTTTCCTAAAATATCCTTACTAATCAAATGTATTGACTAGAACTATCATTGTTAGAAGGGCTATTTTGTAAAAACAAAATGTATAAATATAAAAGACAAAATGAATTGGGGTCTTATATTTAGGATCAAAATAAAAGTTAAACATGGTCTTATATTAAGAACAGGAGATAGTATTATTTTATTAAATTCAATATATATCAATATTTGTTTATGTTGATTCTTTTCATCGGTGGTTACAACTTTTCATCAGGTGGTTGTGATGCGGAGTCCTATGTAAATATATTGTTAGTTAACAAAGAGGATAGAAGGGTAAAATAACAAAGTAAATTAATATTATTTTTTTACTATCTGTTTTCTTTTTCTAATTTTAACAACTTAAAACTTCCCCTTGAGCAGGGAAAGAGGCCCACACTCAAACCTCATACACCTCATCTCAATTTTAGGAGGTATTTGAATAAAATCAAACTATGGTTTGGAAAATAGTTTCTGAAAAATGTTTTGTGAAGAATAGATTTTGTAAAAAAGTGATTTTGATAAAGTGAGAGTGTTTGGATAGTTGTTATCAGAAGCACTTTTTATATATACAAATTATTAAAAAAAACATAAGCTAATATGATAATTACATAAAACATAGATATTATAATATATTTTAATTTGAAGGAATAAAATTGTTAATAATATATTTTTTACCAACATAATTAATAATACATAAGATAATGTAATTAATAAATAATTAATATGTGTATATATATTTATAAGATATAAGATTAAATATGTTTATCAAAAAAATTAAAGGGTGTTAAAGTTGTATTATTGTTGAGATCTACTCTGATAGGCATAATCATACTCTCCAATTTGACCCAGAAGCAGAATGGATTCACTTCTCTCGAAACCATGATTTTGAATTTCAAAACCATCGTTTTGGCTCAAATCATGGTTTCAGATATTTTGTACCTATTTGGATGAATTTTTTTCTCAAACCATGATTTGGCCTGATATCTAAACAGGCCGTTAGTCACGTGACATGAGACATAAAACTCGTAACCTCCTCCATAAGCAGAGATGCAAAGTGTCATGAGAGTTAGAAACTCTTGACAACTCTCTATTTATCGTTGATATTAGTTAACATAATCATCACTTTGGATTACTTAAATTATGTTTAAATGACTAGACACAATTCAAATTATTATGATTTCTATAATTAAGAAAATTATAAAATTTAATAAAAATATTCACGTCAAATTTCATATACTCATTAAAATAAAATAAAAAATAAAGGAAGAATTACTACCTTAATCCTTAATATAAGAATTTATTTAAATTTTATTTTGATCATAAATATAAGACTCTAATTCATTTTTTTTATATTTATCTATTTTTTTCTCAAAGCAACCATTTTAATAATAGTAGTTATAGCCAATATATTTTATTTGTAATGATATTTTAGGAAAAATATTTATTTATTACAAATAACTAACTTAACTAATTTTTTAATCTACTTAAATTGGTCAATTAGCTCTTATATTAAAAAATAATAGTAAAATCCTAGGGAATTGCATGTTAATTTTCTTAAATTATTCATTAAATTAAATTCAAATACTTAAAAAGTGTATCGTGTGATCTAAGGGGGGCTAACATTATTCGGGCCCCACCGTCCTATTTATTTCGGATGAGCTATGAAGCAGTAGCAATCCCAGCCATCCATATGTGAAGATATTTTTTTTTTTTTCTGAATACTGTCATGTAACATTTTTTAAGAGAAACTTAACAATAATATTAATGTCCGGCAAAAAAAATAACATTACCTAATAAGTATTAAAATAATAATATTTAGCCCTTCTATTATTTATATAACACATTAATTGTTTATCTTGATGGTGAAAACATAATATTAAGAAAAGGTGACAACTTTTAAACAGAATGTTTCCAAAATCTTAAGAAAATTCCATTATTAAATCTTTTCTATAAAGCAAATGGAGAAAATGTCGTTCGGATGATACTTGTATTGGGGAAAAAAATATTTGATTAAGTCTCATAAATGTAAACAAAATTTCGAAAGAACTTTACATGTAAAAATTTTGAAATGATTTGATTTTGATCAATCAGAATTTTATGTTATTTTCAAAAAATTAATTTTTCTTATATATACACACATATGAAAAGAACCAACTAATTTTTCATGATATATACAACAAAAAACTATTTTGGATTCAAGCTATGAAATATTGTACCAAAAAAAATACAGATCCCAAAAGAAAGTGATATATGAAAGGGAAATTTATTATACTCCTCCGCTCCTAAATATAAAATTTATTTTTTATAAAAAAAGTCTTATATTTAGAATTGAAAAAATATCAAATTGACGTAGATGAATTATGAATATGATGACGATCCTATCCAAATTAGCAAAAAATTGTGACCAAGTTAAATTTTTTATTTGATGAATTTCCGAAATAAGTAGGAACTTAGTCGTTCCTCACGGAGAATATTTTATCTTCTTTAATTATAATCTTCAAAATGCCTAAAATATATAAAATTTCTCTAAATTTTTAGTTTACATATAACTTTAGATTTAACCTCAGTAACATTGGGATGAATGATAAAAAATTGCAAGGAAAAAAGAACGATATCATGAAATTTTAACAAAATAACTGACTCCATGGAAAAATTAATAAATCAATTTCCAATATAATTTAATTAAAGTAAATGATTTTTGACCAAATATTAAATTAAATGATTAGTCAAAGTCTATCAAAACATTCAGAAAAAAATGTGTTCAAACAATGTGGCGTAATATGAAGAATATGACAAAACTGTAGCACCTATCAGTAGATTAAAAAGATATATAAAAATGTGGTGTATAAAAAATAAATAAATAAATTGGTAAAAGTTTGTATTCAAAAGTAACGTATATTTATATTCTACAGCTAAAAAAATATTAGCGATACGCAACATTAGTCACATATATAGTCTTTTTTAACACATCCACATAAAGTCTTTTACAGTGTTTGAGATGGAAAAATATTACTTCTTGGGTCCTTAATATAAAAGACATTTAACTAATTTGATTAGATTAAAGAAGTTAAGTAAATTAGTTAATTATAAGAAATGTGTCACGTTTTTCCTAAAATATTATAATCATTTTTCTTAATACCTTATCTTTCTTTTTTACT